TTTTTCCATAATACGTCGCGGAACTCCATTCCTGTTTGCTGATGACATAAAAGTTGGCTACGACTTTAGGCAGACTGAAACAAATGATGTCATCCACCATATCCAAGAGGACCCACACCGTTTCGAACAGTGGTGTTCTGTTGGAAGATGGAGTTTTCTCCTAACAAATGCACCTTTATGACTATGCGGTGTGAGGTCCCTCCGAATACGTTCCTTCTTCATGGCTCACTCATTATTCACAACGCATCCATACGTGATCTTGGCCTGCACTACTCATCGTCCCTCCACTTCTCTAAGCATATCTCCTTCCAAAAAGCCAAGGCACGGAAAAATATCGGCTTTCTCACAAAGTCTCTTCTACTAGCCGAGGCTAAACTCCTATCTTACCTATCCTTCGTAAGACCGTCCCTCGAATACTTCCCCATCGTCTTCACAAATGTCCACAAAACTAACAGGTCAACATTAGAAAATGNCAATTACTAGGCTTTTCGACACAACTGAGTTACCGGGAACGTTGCGCCGTACTTAAACTGGAGCCTCTGTGGCTTCGACGCATGAGACTTAATCTCTGCTTCTTTCACCGGCTTATGCATCGCACACCGGTGCCCTCTGATTTCCCACGCCTATCCACATGTACAACCTACTCCCTACGCCAAAATAACTCGCGCCTCATTATCCCAAAATACAGGACACTACTCAGATATAAATTCTTTATCGTAAAACATGCTAGATTATGGAACAGATTACCACCCCATTTAATCAACTGTAATTCACACTTCTGAATCAAAGTATTACTTAGCCGATATCTCAGTGTCGAAAACGCCGCACACCTAACTGGCAATAATCTTTACACATCTTCTGCTTTTGAAAATGTATCCCATTATTAAATATTAAAAACAGTAGATTCATTTACGTATGCAGTGGTAGCACGAACCCACGAAACGCTTAATCAATCATCATCTACAGTGAACTTCTTCAGTTTAAAAACTGTAGAAGTGGAATCGAAAACCTAACAGAACACGCAGTCAGCTACGACGCTGACTATGTGAAACACAATCTAATTTGGTACATACTTTTATAAGTATTGAGACCCATCTTTCATTTCTTCATATTTATCTGATTGCGTTTTCATCCGACTCCATTGGCCCAACTCCGTGGCACATGCTAGCTAGGTAGCAGTGTCTACTTTCTCAACGAAACTTATATCTGTACACGGATCCAGCTTTGAAGCTGGATCTGTGGAACAAAACCTGCTTTGGTACATACTTTTATAAGTATTGTGACCCAATATGTCTTACCTGTTATTCATCCGCTCCGGTTTTCCTCTGACTCAGTTGGCTCCCCTCCGTGGCACTTGCTTACCAGGTAGCTGTGTCTACTCTATCAACTGATGTTCTACCATTACGCATGTTCACCTCTATTTTGGATCTGTAGATCTAGACATATTTTGACAACATCCTTTTACCAGTATTATGACCTAAGCACCCTCCTTGATTAGAATTTGTCGTTTGCTTCTTGCTATTTCTTTCCCTAATCCCCTCGCAGCTTAGCTGCACCCCAGACTGCCGATGTTTGCCTTTCTGTTCCAGATCCCGTTGGTTTGGGCCTGACGAAGGCTTGGGGTCTACACCCGCAATGGACAATTTGGCACGGGCAATGGTTGTTGGGCGCGGATGTACCCACCGCTTTGACTACATGCGTCCGCATCCCGGACCAGGTAGATGAACGCACCCCCTGCCTCACCTACAAGGTGTTTTAAGGTTAGGTGCCTAGCGTCTAGTCAGTCCTACATCAAAGCGACCAACGCCTAAATAACGTAAATAACCCAAATCAATCCACTGCTGATCAGAGCCCCTGAGACCATCAAACAAGACCCTTCAGAACTCATCTGTTTCACAACGTGAGGTGCATATATATTCCATGACAGTTTCACTCTGTTTTGCTTCACCCTATCCGCTCTTGTGCCGGTTTCCGTCCAACGATCTGCAGGCCGCCTCCTGTTATTTTACTCACTGCTTGTCGTAATTCCAATCATCCCACCATTCATCCGGTATAAAAATTCTTGTTTTTTGTCCTACTTCCACCGAATTGCTCTCTTAGAGCATTCCGCCATCCCCAACCTTTTTTTATCTGATACCTTGTCCACTCTGTGTTCCATTTCTGATTATGTTCACTGCGACCTTCATTTTTTTTTCTTTTGGGTCTCTCCTGTACGGAGGATTATGTTGTACATTTGATCATGCCTATGCATGCCTCACGGGGCTCCGTGAAATATACACTTATTATTATTATTATTACCAAGGTGGAATGACTAGGCTTTACAGGAAGGATTTCTACAGATCGATCAATACGGTTTTATCTAAATGTAGATTGCACTACGGAAAAGAACTTCCCGAGGGAAACTCACCTCAAATATTTGAGGGAATACAAAGATGGATTCAGAAGGCCCAGAAAAAGACAGAATAGAGTGCAACAAAGGAAACCAACCAGAATATTTGTTTGATAACCAATGAGTAAAAAACCGTACAACTTTTATGTCAATTACACATTTCAATGTGCTTTTGTAATACTTGCTTTGTTGAAGTAAGGGTTTTGGGCGGTAAACGTCATACATGGATTTCGATTAGAATGATGCACGATAGACAAACATTAGTTGGGAATAAATTTAGGTACCTATCATGTAGATCGTAAGTAAGTAAGCATGCGCCAGCTTGGAGAAATGCAAACAAAGCTGAATAGAATGTAAGACATTCCTTTCGGGAGCCGTCCCATAGAGTTTCGTTTGAGTCATATCTCAGTCCTATCCGAGTCCCATCCTCGTCTCATGGGAGTTCCATACGAGCCCCATTGGAGTCCCGTTTGCAAACGGCTTCCAATGGGACTTCCGTGGGACTCGAATAGGACTCGAATAGAACGGCTGGGAGGACTGAGTATGTTGCAAGCATTCGTCATGAGGTTGCTCACATAGCATGACTACTTCCCTTTTGAGGAAAAGCTGGGTACGCCCTTTGGGTCTATCCCCGAGGGCTTCGTTCCTTTTTGGAGCTTTCGGGCTGGGCTTTTTGGTGTTCGTAATATTATCTGCGAACTTAATCGCCCTTTTATTACGGATTCTGACCTCCTCTTATTTGCTAAAATACCTGGCGATCGTTCCTGTTTCTCCAACTGGATCCCAACAACTGCGGTTCAACTGATATGGTCATTTGTTTTAGAGGCCAATTTTGTACGCTCGCTCATTGCATCTGGCGTAGTTGTTATATTGCCATCCAGCGCTATCGTTACTTTTTGCGATGCCACCATTATGAGAGAGTGGAAGTAGACTAATAACGAACTGGGTGTTGTGCTATTTCCTTCCGAGTCGCATTTACGAATGAACGGGATTTTTCCGGAATCAACAGCTTCTGCGTTTCGTATCACCGCATCTACTAAATCCCAGACCCTTTTACTTCTAGCTCGTGTGTCCGCCTTGAAGATCTCTGGGAAGGTATTCTATTTCTTACCATGGATAGCTCATAAGCTGATTTATGCGTGTGTACATCGCGGAACACTCACTCTAGTTTGTCCAGCTTATCTGTGGAAGTACGACTTTCCCCGTGGTATTTGTGTCCGGTCTGGGGGCGCCTGTTTGTGGAGATTTAGATGTCCCGCCAGGCTTCGATCCGGGAGACTCCTAACGGCAGTATGTAGACGTCTCACTACTTTTGGGAACGTGCGCAGTCCCGGGCTTCTGGGGATCAAGGTACATAAAAAGCATACGTTAGTGCGGGAGTTGGGAGACGCCCTTTTAGTTTCGAAGCCTCTTACGAAGGTAAGGCGTGGACCCAGGGGGCGTTTCGGATTTTCTCTTTGTATCTTTTATACCATTCATTATGATCATTTGCTATTTCGTAGGTTTGGCAACATGCTGTTTGATATCTTGGCAGAGGCTGGTGTTATCATTCAGAGATTTGTGTGGGGACGTCCAATTGAGCATCCGCGGATGCTTGGTGATAACTGCAATGCTCGTGTCGTGTAGTTTGGCTTCACGAACCGTCCAGGCTTTGCGAGCTGCTTCTTTGCAGTGGCCACGGACCCATTCGAATTCACTGTTTTCGCGGTAGAACATGTGATGACACTCGAGTATTCCCGAAAATTTAGGATGCGCCCAGCGGTGACTGGTTTCACACTGTATGCTGTTTCTAACGTGTTTTCCACACTTCACCCCACAAACGTATGGGAGACACATACCATAGGTTATAAATAATACGTATAGAGAAGCAAGCTAATCCACAAACTATGGAAGAAAAATGGAAATTTATTCTTAATGTACTGTTAGGTTGAGCGAAGTTAACGGTTAATATTTAGGTAACTTTCAGCTGTAAATCTATAAATGACACAAATTTTTAACGTAAACCAATACACTGATTGATCTTTAAGTGATAATCAAAGAAAATTTACCAAAAAAGTAGTTACAACCGACTTTAAAGGTACAGTGAATAATTCTAAAATTTCTCCTATTGTCGCAGCACCGAGGGATCCAAGGAGCTCACCAGTGCAAGAACCTGGACACTATGGCAATCGCCGTTACGGTCTGGCGGTTTGAATTTCGAAGCAAGGAAGATCAAATGAATTAGAAGGGAATAATCTGAAGAGATTCAGACGTTATACAGAGGATCACTGGATAAAAGTGACGTAGCTGGCAACGAGACCAAACAAAGGACCAGAACGGGGAGTCATTCCCCCAACACAATCCACGCGATGTCGTTCTAATTCTTCTTAACTGTGTATCAGATCTATCTAACATTTTTTGCATCTATCATTGTTAATAACTCTCGATCGAATTACCTGTTTGTATTTAGATAATTTAAATGTCACCGAAAATAGATATTACAAAACTGAACATCACTCCCAGCGTACTAAGTACGAACAACCTAGGCACCTCAGACTGTATCAGATATAAAAAAGCAGTCTCGAACAAAAGCAAAGCTCTGAGTTGCTACATGTGTAACTAATGGTGTCACATATACTGCGACAAAATAGTGACCATTGATATATAAGCCCTTTTTGTTTTTCACCCTATGGATGCAATGCAATATGTATGCTCGCTGTGTATACAGGCCAAAAACAAACCGACCGATTACCGAGTCTAGTATCTGGTCTTCTAGAGGCCGGATCCAGTTGACCAGAGAACAGAACAGTGAAACCAGCGTTAATTTTCCAAACAGAGTCAACACCCTGTGTATACATCAACGCCTCACGAATAAAATCTCAGAGTTACAAACCTTGGCGTTGGTCAGCAATCCTGGTATCATAGGTATCAGTGAAACATGGTTATACGAAAGGATACATTACGTAGAAATATCTCTCCCAGGAATGCACAGCTACAGAAAGGAGCGCACTAACTCTAAGTGAGGAGGAGTTATCCTTTACGAGGCGCAGCATTTGCACCCCGAGCAGGTGATTTATCCACAACTGAACGGCTGCTCATAATCAGTGTGGGTTTCATTTAAACCCGAAGATTGCACAGCAACGGCCCACCAGATGGAATTCCGAAGGATTCTCATCTATGCTCGATTACGTTTTTACTGACAACCCGATATTAGTGGACGATGTAGAGATACTGAATCCACTGGGAAAAAGTGACCATTCTACGATCATGTTCAAATTCCTAGTGTGCATCACCAAAATGATAGATCAGTTGCTCGCAGGGCGGAGCTTCTACAGGGTAGATTATGAGGAACTTAGCAGAGCTTGGTAGCACTTCCTGGATAGAACAATCAGGTGAGTTGCCAGATGATGACTTTTGGCGTAGAATCCTGAACAATCTACAACTGACAATCCACAACCTAATTCCTCTGCGCACCGTCAAACCCAAAAGTGGAAAAAGAACTTAGCTTAAGAGCTGGACTATGAAGCTGATCAGCTTAAAGCGATCATCATGGAATAGATATCAGTTGACTCAAACGTTTGAAGACTTCGAGTCTTACAAGACGCTCAGAAAGCGCTACACAACGCTCCAATGTGCGGACAGAAGGCTCTACCAGCTTCAGTTATACGAGAAAGCAAGGGAAAATCCTAAATTGCTCTATCGACACATAGTCCACACTAGGCCATCTGCTACTGGATCACCAAAATA